CTGGTGGTTTCCTGCATTCGGGGACCAATTCCTGGGTTCATTCCATTTCTCATTCCTTGTGGTTTCCTTGTGGTTTCCTTGTGGTTTCCTTGTGGTTTCCTTGTGGTTTCCCTTTTTTCGGGGACCCCCTCGTGTCACAGCGCTCGCCAGCGTCCCTTCCAAGCAGCAGCTTCCTCCCCCCCCCCCGGCAGCGCCTGCCGGGGGAGCCAAAGGAGGCCTGTGGTTTGGCCCGGGATGGGGCCCGGCGCTTGCCAGAGGCTCCCCCCACCCCCCCCCCTTCTGAAGGTGAACCCCGGAGTCGCTCAAATAGCGCACCAAGTATGAAGTTCATGAACTCAGGATGTGAGGCATGAAGCCAACCCGAAGATTCTCAATGTTAACCCTGGATGAAGTTAAACCCCTGGTTGAGTTTGATTGGGGGGTGTCCAATTCCTTTGAGTGGTTGGAGTCAGACCGCTTTTGGAGGGAACACCCCCCTAATAATGGGACGGGTTTATTAATCCTGGGTCAACAGGTAGCAACCAGGGTGACAGAACCCACAAAAGCCATGGTTGTAAGTCTCCGTTCATTTACGAAGACCCTGCCCCTTTAAGCAAAGTCCCAAAAGGAAGGATTCTCAACACGGGATGCGGATTCGCAAAATGGGCATCGGACCCCTTTTTGGTTAGTGGTTAAAGCAAAAAAGGGAAGCGGGAAGCAACTCATTTTGAGAACCTCCAACATGCAATGCTTCGTGCAAGAATGCAAGTGGGCAAACAGGCCTCGCAAGACTACTTCTGGTTCAACACGAACGCTCGTTTAGTCGACTTTCCCATTTATCAGGGTTCCATGTTGAACCCCTGTTTTTGAACACCCAATTGATCTTCCAAGGGTCTCCAGTCAGGTTGGGTGCCAGGGCTGGCAAGAAACCTGGTACTGTTGGCGATCTTGCTGTTTGCTGAGCAGGGCTGGGGGAGAGGGGGGGTAGGGGGTGGGGAGGGAGGTTGGAGGGGGGGGGGGGAGGGGGGGCATGTTACCGTCGGTATGAAGGGGCTTGCACGCACACGATGCTGACAACAAGCGTCTGGAGAGCCGCAATGTCCATCCCGGCAACACGAGTGGAGCACGCAAACGACCCGCTTGCTTGATAGTCGCAACTCAATGTTTTGGCAGATGGTGGCTATACCGACTCAGCTTCAATGTAATGTGACGCTACATGCAGAGCTTCGTTTGGAGGTATCAGCTTCCCTTTGAGAAGGATTTCTGCCGCGAATTGGCGGCTGCAGTTTGTGAATTCAGATGTTCGAGCACTTGAGCCCCTGCCTGGTTTCCAACCCGCTATGAGGATGATGCTTCCTTTGGGGAGAGAGGCATGAACAAACAGCAGTCCTTGCAAATGGTGCCTTGCACCATAACCCCGACACAAGCATAAACTCAGGGAAGCCTGAAAGCGTATTTTGAGGTTCTGAATGCTTGTCTAACAAAACAGAAAGCATTGTGTTCATTGGTTTTGGTTGACCATCCTGGTGCCAATGTTCCATTGGTTCATCTGATCTAAAAGGACATTTCCGCCGCAAAAACTAAGGACAAGCACCGTGGTATGACTCTGCCAGCAACGGAACTGAGGCTTGCTTTCGCCATTCATAGAGTTTTAGCCCGCAGGCGAAAGCAAGGAGGTCCGCTCTCGCGGGTAGATTTCTTCACTTTGCAAATCCCAGGGTGTTGCAGCCTGTATGGATCACAGGAAAAAACACCGGATGAAGAAAGTGCTCTCCGAAATCTTGGCCTATGCCCAATAAGGTGGTGCACTCACTCGGTATGAAATAGCAAAGGCAAACCAAACCATGCTGCTCAAAACACATACGGTTGACCGCGATGAACGAACCCCTGGCTGGAAAAATAGGGTGTGTCCCAGTTTAGAGGAGAATCCTTCTCTTTTGGGGAGCAACACCCTCCACTGCATCCGTCATGTTCCACTCAAATCCAGACGTTAGCAGTAGAGGTACGTTGTTTCCGCCTACCCGATGTGATTTTTTGATGGCGATATTGGCCAGACTGGGTTTGAGCCAGCTACAAACTCTCAGCCGTGGGTGGCAAAAACAAAAGGTCGGCTGTCAACACCATTGTTCCTCGCACCATTGCAGACCGAAATCATGAAGAGCATTCGAAACTCGCAAAACAGGTGGTCTGAATAGCTTGACCCCGAATCAAGCAACACACAAAAAAAAAAAAAAAAACGGACACACCCAGCAGGAAAAAGGCAACTACAGCAAAAGCAACAGCAAACAACCCCTACGCCACCAAGTCAAAGGGAGCAAAAATAACCACTGCATCGGACACAAGCCAATGACCAACAACAAATCTGGCAATTCTTGCACGTCCAAAACCTGAAATAAGGAATCCCCAAGAAAAGGATCCTTAGCCATGGTGAGCTCGTCTTACCCCCGAATCGGTGAGCTCGCCACAAATTAGGCAGACAAATCACAGCACAAAAGCAAGAACACGCAAAACCAGCGAAATACTGTGGATGGACGAAATCCTGCACCACCTGAGAAATCCTGAAATGGCGATTCCGCTGTCATATTTGCAACCAACCACGGTTTCACGTGGATTCAAAGTGGTGCAGTAGCACCTGAAAAGCCACCCACCCCACAGCCTGCAAGCTGCCTGGAACCTGCAAGCTGCCGCCTGGAAAATTCAGGCCATCGACATCCTAGGGCGCTCTCCCCCTGCCGTTTTTAGTGGGAACTTCGGAGTTTTTGCGAAATGATGCTGAGGGTATTGGATTTCAGTCTATTTTGCCTGCAACCTTCTTTAGGGTCTTGGGTTGTGGGGTTGAGTCTGCAAAATGACTTCTAGATGTCTGTTGGCACCTGCCCCCCCTCAAAGAAGGTTCTAGCGATATCGTCCACTCTGTTCAGGGGTCCTTCTCTCGAAAGTAGATATCTATATGTCTATGGGCATTAAGTAAACAATATACACATACAACTATGCATCCCTGTACCGGATGTTTACATACAAAAATCCTTTCGTGTGTGAAACAACGTACATGAATAAAAAAACACATACGTGTATATGTATACACATGTAATCCTATGGGCACATAAGGCGTATCAGTTTATACATGTGGATGTCTGTTTATTTTTAGAGGGCCCTCAGAATGGTGGCGTTTCTAATAAGCGTCCCTTGAAACGATGGGTTCCCCCAAAAAAACAGACAATCCCAAGATGGGCATCTTTTTTAAGGGATTCAAAACCATGGCGGATTCCCCTTGGTTCTCCCGAAAAGAAAAAAACTGGGGGTTCCCCCTACAAAAAACCAACGACTGGCGACTTGTGGCAGGCTCAAAGAGCGGCCTATGGGGCTCGGCAGGCTCGCCAGCAGCGTGTCGTCCAGGCTCTCCTGATGACGTCCGGTTCGACGCCTTTGAGGGTGGGGGGGGGGGGTCGCTGGTTCTGTTGGGTGACCCCAATGGATTCTAAGAAATGAAATGGGAGAAATGAGTTCCATGAAAGGGGTCTAAGAACAGCTGACCCCTGCTCAAAACGCTCCCGTACATGGCTCTGAGCACCTCCAAACTCCGACAAATCACCCTCTCACCCTCGTTTTAACGCATACGGCCGTGCCTTTTCTCAGGACACCCTTTTTGCGTCGCGCCTTTTGTCTGGTGCTTTGTTGGCTTTCCATTTTGAGACATGGGTGTGTCTTGTTTTAGGGACCCCCAAAATGGTGGGTTTTCCCTTCTGGTTTCCCTTCAAAACGAAACCAAACAGGGGTTTCCCCGAAAAAGACGAGCCCCCCACATGCCCCTACCCACATGCAACCCATACGCAGCTCCAAACTTCCCCGCTCGCCTGCGCCTCGACGGGGATGGCTCGGCTGGACCTTGAGCAGAAGGGCTCCAACAAAAAACTCCACTTGGAGCGCCAACTGTAGGGTTTTACTTGGATTCGTGGCTTGGTTTCCGTGTAATACAAGGTCACTTCTGGGAGATCTGAAAATGGACAGCTTAGAAAGTACTTCAAGGGGCGATTGGGTACTTAAGAAGTGGTTGTAATGACCATGGTTACGACCCACAAAGGCCATGGCTGTGTTCGTCTCCGTTCTAAGTCTAGGCGCACTAACCACCTGCGAAGTGCCCGATCGCCCCTTTAAGTGCGGAGCGCGTCTTTGCTCATCTGTCCTACTCACCGAGAAAAACGGACAGGGCGCCCTGTTGTCGGTTCGCGGGTTGATTTCCGAGGGGAAGCTACCCGACAAGGGGGAAAGAAGGTATAGCTGGACAACCAGGCGGGCTGCGACGACGAGTTGTGCGGATAGCGGCCAAACCGCGCGCCTGAGGCTTCACAGCCGAACCCTAGCACGAGCATCTCTCGTTGACTTCGAATCAGCAAATGCGGCTGAAGCAGCTACTACGGTGAAGACTTGGACCGGACAGTCGTCTTTCCCAAGTTCGAAATGCTTGCAATAGATGAATAGGCTCCTTGCAAAAAGCTCGATACCCCAAACAGGCATCACCATCTCTGTCTTTGGGCCGGATTCTTACTTGCTTCAATGCACACACGTCATTCCCTGCCAAAAAGTCCCTTTCAATTCCTGACCTCTACGAAGAACACGCTCCTTGGCCTCACCAGCGCCCCAACATGGGTCCCCGGCTTGCGTACCGAAAAACGTGCTGTGGGCAAAAATGAGTGGCAGTTGTGGGCGGAGCTTTTGGCAGTGCTTTCTCCTGTGACCAGCCACGTTGCAAACAGGAATGCCGCCTGCCAAGACGGAACCATCCATCCAGGCAAGCCATCCAGCCAAGCAACCCGAGCAAACCTTGGCAGAACCAAGAAAAACTTGTAGTATGACTCGTCACCTTTCGCATCTTGCCACGCAGTCGAAATAAACAAGCAAGGAAGGAAACAAGGAAGCAAGCAACCAACAAACAAACAAACAAACAGCAGTTCACCAGCCTGAATGCCACAAGACCCACACGCAACACAACACCTTGGCCCCAGCCCACGTCCCATCCCTTTGCGCTTCCGCCGCCTCGGTGCTGTCGGCTTCAGCCCCCGCGAGGCTCCAGATGGGACACCCAGCGGAAGTAGCTCTGAGGGTCTCCGGGCCTGGCCTTCGCGGCCCTGCCTTCGTCCAGCCGCAGCTCGTGCTGCCTGTGGTGATAGCTCAAAAAATGGGCAATGAACAGGCGGCCGTCACGTAAGGTCAGCCTGGCGCAACTTGTAAGGTACGTGCGAAGACCGTGCAGGTGATGATACAAAAAAAAGTACTGCAGGCATCGCCGCCCTGGGTGCTTGTCGCTGTTGACAAGCAGCTCGAAGGAGAGGCCGCCATCCGCCTCAGCTCTGACCTTGCGCGGAATGAACTCACACTCAATGTCCTTGTCGGCACAACTGCCTGTCTTAGAGCTACTCTGACCTTCAGGAGCTAAGTGTACCACACGTATTGCATGATAGCGATATTTGTCTAAGCGAAAAGAGAGGATCTGCGGATGGCTACTTTTCACTTCTCCAGGGTTGTCTCGAACAATCATGCCGCCGATCCCTTCCTGAGGGGACAGAGCTCGTAAACAGTGGTTCACAGCTGTGACCGGGTCAGGTGCGGTCGGCTTGCAGGAACATCGCCGCAACTGCCTCTCTGAGCCAAGAACTGGGGTCCACACCATGTGGGCCTTCTGCAGGCCGCAGCACTCTGTCTGCAGGAAAGCTTCTGTGGCACTGCCGGCTATCTGGGCCCGCTCTCGATGCCAAACAGTGTTGGCGGCTTTGCACCTGGGCGCCAGTGCCTTCAAATTGCTCAATCCCCAACGCACGCTGCGACCAATGCCCAGCCTCCGCGCAATCTGCTGGTACTCTTCCAATTGTCCTTGCGCCTCTTGGAAAAGCTGCTCCACCCCTGCATCTGCAAACGCCACCTCCCTTGACGTCACGTTGATTCGACTGGCCACCATGAGGTTCAGTAAGCTGACCCGTGCCAACGAGATCCAGTTGAGGGCCGACGCTGCTTCGATGCCCGAGGAGAACTTGGCATGCGGCATGCTGGCTTCAGATTGGCGCAGCACCTCTTCCAACAGCTTTTGAACGCTCCAAGGCTCCAAAAAACTGTAGGTGGCATGCGCAAACTCCAGATCTGCATGGTACGCATAGTCCTGGATCAATCTCAAGTCCTCCTGACTTTGGCTCAGGGCATACGCAACGAGCAGCGTTTGGAGCTCTTGGAAGTGGGCCACGATGCTTTTCATGTCATCCATATGAAAGTGGAAGTCCACCAGCAAAGTCTCAACGTTCCTCTCTATGGATTCAACCAACGTATTGATGCGTCGCATCTGCTCGGCCAACTTCTGCAGCTTCTTCATCACTGCCGCGTCGCTTGGCCCCGGAGGCCCGGCGGAATCGCTTTCGCCGGGCCCCAAAAGAGCGGTGAGGCCCACCGTGCCAGCCTTGCACACCATTTCCACGGCAAAGCTGAAAAAGCCACACACGCGGAAAGGAAGTCCCACAGAATTGGCCAACTCCCAACCCTCCCGCACGGGCTCCCATGAGTCGAGCTCTGCCACGGCCACCTCGTCGGGTTTGCCTTTTCGCCCTGAGGAAATGGAATAGAGAGACCTCACATGTGTGGGGCCCCTCGTTCAAGGGGTACCTCGCCTTTATATTCCCATAGCTTTTTCAAACAGAGGGGGGTGTCCCTCTACATCTCTTTGCGTTCCCAACACATTCTTCAAACATACAATTATCTTTTCTTCGAAGTCAAAGGCCAAGCCCCCCACCTCTTCCAGCACCGGCGCCGGCGGCGCGCTTCCGCCCAGGTACGGCCGGCCGCAGCTTGCCAGGCCCACCAAGCCGAGGCCCAGGGCGCAGGCGGCGAGCGCGGCGCCGCCTGCAGCGCAAAACCGCGCCGGCGGCCGCGAAGGCGGCGCCTCCGGCAGCAAGACGAAGTCGCCCTGCATGGTGCAGGAGCTGAAGTCTCACTGAAGCTTGGAAAGATGCGTGATGCCTGCAGAACTGATCACACCTTGGAGAGGTTGTGTGTGTGTGTGCTTTGTGGCACAGGTGCCGGATGCACGAAAAATCAAGATGTGTATCTCAATATATAGATGGGTTTGCACATTCTACACATGTTTGCAGTCTGCAGAACTGGCCAACTGCGCAAAGCCAAAACAAGGGCTTGCTTGATCCAAGCGCTGGCTTCAGTGAAGCCCAAAGGAGCCCCAGCGTGTCGCATGTCTCTTCGAAGCATAGTTTTGCAACTCAAAGTTCAGTGCTTCGTCTCAACTTGACCGTTTTTGAGGGGTACCTCATGATCGCACATTCCAAGCCGAAAGAGTCAAGGCCGAGAGGGTTGGAAGAAGCGTAATCTTCCTGACAGGAATTTCCATCAAGCGAGGCAACAACGAAACAATAGCCTCCAAGGGATCTACCTGAAACCATGTAAAGAATCCGAATCGCCTTCTACGTCTGGGACTGTCACCTACTACCCTCCACTTACCCAGAGTCTCATGGGGGCTCATGTTTTCTCACAGAATTCCTCAAACAGTTAAGTCACTCAATGAAGCAAATGAAATGACTTGAGCCAGGCGCAACAGCAATAAACCTTCATCTACTCCCGTGCAGATCCAAGTGCCCGAAATACCATGATGTTGCAGGGAATTCCTTCTTTTTGTGTTCCTTCCGTTGATCTGCAGGGAAGTCTCCACCAATTGAAACACAACCAAAGCCAGGAAAAAAAGGGCGCACATAGCAAAAGCAGGGCAAAAGCCAGCAAAAAACCAGAGAAATTCGGGGAAAGCAAGGGAAAAAACGAGCGAAACATAGGAAACACCTCTATTCCCCTAAAGCAAAAGCCCCCCGCCAACCCCCGGTTGGCTCGCCCCTTCACCCTTCCAACACCTCGGCCCCGACCGACTTCGTATCCGAGGCGTCGCACCGGGGCGGGCGCTCCTGGAGCCAAGAGAAGGGGCCTCTTTTGGTGGGTGAACAACCGACCTCACCCCCCCCCCCCCCTCCCCCCCCATGCCAATCAAAACAGGCAGTCCGCTGCTTTCCGGGGAAAGGTGCATGTTTCTTGCTTTCTTTTAGAGAGCATGTTTAAACATCTAAGAGGACATGTGCAACACTTGCTTTCAAAGGACAACTCTGAAACATCTAAGACTTCTACCTGTTGAGTCATGTCAACTCCCAAAGGGCTCGAGGCCACATCACACAGCCAGCGGCGAGCGGCTGGCAGCCCAAGCGCCACGTCCGCTTCATGGACTCAGCCATTTGCTCATAGGACTTGGTTTTTTCTGCAAGAGGAATTGCAAATGAGTTTCTTGTGGAAGTTTCGGCAGTTGTTGTGATGTTGAGGGTCGACCCAAGTAGCAGAAATCATTCAGTCAGTGCAAAGGAAGGCCAGGCGCACACAGCGCCCCCCGAAAAAGCCAAGCTCCGCCTTCTGGCACCAAATCGACATGGAAACTGGCAAGACGAAAGAACAAACATATGGACTATGTCCGCTGCCTCTTGTCCTAAATGGAGGGGTGTGTCAAATCAGGGGACCCACAAATTGTGGCGTTCCTGTTGGATTCCCTTTAAAAACCTAAACCCGATTGCACATTAAAGGCGCTCGCTTCTTGTATACTGCATTAGCAGCGCCCGAAGCCCATTGACTTTTGGTTCTACTAACATGGTTGTACATGTTTATCTGCCCTTTCTCACTTTCTGAGGGATTGGCCAGAATAAGTCTGAGCCTTAGTGTAACCACAAGAAAATTTGGCAGTAGAACCATATGCTACAATGGCCCTTCTGGGGTTTTCGGCGCTTCTCCATTGGCTTTCCAAACGCGTCTTTTGGCTTTCCAACTGCAATTCTTGGCGGCCAACAGGCTGGCTTGCTTGCTGTCTCTAAACAGCTGGGGGGGTGTCCTAAAATCAGCGTTTTTGGCCTTGATATCTTTCGAGCGGAACCAGAAAACAGGCACCCCGCCATGTTCTGCAAACCAAAAACACACCCATCACCTTTTTTAGAAGACGCATTTCAAACAAACCGGAAACAACAGGGCCGTGGGAAATGACCACTTCTGTGATACGACAAAAATTGCTTCCCAAAGACTAACCCCCCATATAAAGGGGGAGATTCCCTTGTATCACAGAAGTGGTTGGATAAACCCCGAATGATCCCACAACCCTGAACCGGAAAGAACCCCACGATTTACTAGGGGTCCAATTTGCTTCGTGGGCCCTTGAAAGCTCCACACGCTTCGGCTCCTCCCCTGGCCGGCGCTTGGGGCTTGTCCTGGACACTGAGGCCGTCGAGGCCGCGATCGTGGGCCGACGGCTCACGATTCAACCCCAACAGAGGGCACCTTCCAAAAAAAACACGACGCAGTATTTAAAGCATCTGACACATGAAAGCAAGAAAACGGATGGTGGTGTTTAAAAGAAAACATGAACACTGAAAAAATGGTTTAAACTCGTTGACATTTGGAAACCATTGGGTGTTCGTGTAACTGTTAAAAACTGTTCAGGGGGAGAATATGTGAACCTTGAATGTGCACCCATACAAGGCTAAATGTAGGGGCCACCTACAACAACCAAGAGGAGCGCATCAAAACCAACAAACAAACAGAGAGATCAATGCAAAATCTTAAAAAAATGAAGGCTGAACACCCAAAAGCAAACATTTGTCCTTTCCTCAATCAAAAAAAGGTTATCTCGGTCGAACCAAATAGCTTTCGTGGGAGGAGGGCAACCGGGAGCAATGAGAGTCAGGCAGGGTTGGGCCACTCTTGTTTAAACAATTACCCGTTGGTTTCCATGTTGAACCCCCCTCTTGGTCGTTCTTTGAACCGCCACCAACCTGTGACTCACCAGCCTTTTGGCTTCTCAAACCAAAAGGTTCTTCAAGTCCTGGGCAACTTGAAGCAATCATTTCCAGCAATCCTACGGAAGGACCGCACAAATGGGGGCCTCCATTTTTAAAGCCTCCTGCACAAGGAGGTTTCTTGGGATGCCCTGTTAATCTCCAGCCATCTCTGTCAGTGGTAGGAATCTGCCATTGCTCACTATCCAATGCCATTCCTCCGGTTTGGATTGTGGTTTGGAGAAGCTCGGGGGTGGTTTTCCAGAAAAACCTGAGCTACAAAGGCCAGGGACCCGAAACCAAATCCCCAAGCCAGCAATCCAAAACCCACGAAGTCCAACCAGGCCGGGCGTGCCCGATGGCATCGTCGTAGTGGAACGGATTCTCAAAGAGCGCCTGAAAGCGTCGAAGGGGCGACGGCGGATGTTTACTTCTTTGGTCTGGATGACTTGGCGATGTGTTCTTAAAGGGACATTGAACACCTCTCATGCTGGTCCCACCACAAAGCTCCAAAATATCATGCGGAAACCGAAGAAAAGAACCTGATCTACAAAGGCAGGGCCCACAAACACTGTCAAGATTTAGACCAAGAAACCAGCACATCCCTTTTGCCTCACCCTCATCCCTGGCCTACCCTCCCACCTCCAAGTCCCCAGCAGCCCCAACGAACCATTGGAGTTCCGCTTCTCGCCTGGGTCCCAACCCGCCACCCAACACTTCGAACACTCCATCCCTCCCGCCCCCTCAAGACCTGCAGCTGCGCACACCAAGGAGCATATGATACGCATGATCAATGAGTGTTCATGGTCTAGGGACCTAGTTGCTTGGGGATTGAGGGAAACAGGAGCATGACCCACAACTCGCGGAGTTTTGATCATGACATCTTTCCCTTGCTTAGCAAGCATGACCGCTAACCACCAACGAGGGAAGGTTGGAGACTCCGAGCCTTCCACTCGAGTGACCTGGCTGCACCTCCGCGGGCTAGCTTCAGGTCTGTCTTTTGAGGAACTGGCGTTGAGTTTCTTTGTTCATACATACATGCATATATTATATACACATAAATCTGTCCAGAAAGAAAACAAAAAGGGCAAGCCGCATTGTTGGGTGTCCCGATTCAAAGATGCAACACCCGCGTGCTTCGGCGAGTCGCGGCGCAAACATCCAGCTTCCGGCCTCGGGCCTCGACAGTTCCTGCGGGGCTGGGGCCGAGGCTCAGCCCCTCCCCTAATGTTAGGAAGGGATGCCTAGGCATGTGGGCCATCCATGTTTGCGTGTAAGGAATGCGGGAGACTCATGTGAAGCAATGTGCGGGATGGTGTCAAGAAACGAGAACAGATTGCATTGGATCTTCACCAAAGCAGGGGGGACAAGCGATGAGTCCGAGATTAAGCCAGTTTCCAGGTCAGCCACAAAGCAGTCTTTTCGTCGGTTCCCAAGTGAAGTCAACCCCTCTCAGATGGGGGGCGAAATCAACCAGGGCTTGATTCATCCTAGGCTCCGAGGAGTGAAGGAGCGGCTTGGCAGGCACAGAAGAATTTGATCAAGGTGGGGCATAGGAGCGTCATGTGTCCAATCATTTCAGCCCCTATGCCCCAAAGCCCATGGAAAAGAATACCAGAAGGCAAAAAAAAAGCGTCATCTACCTGTGTGTTCGGGTTCGATTGAAGGTAGATGTGGGTGGAGGCCATGACTAATCCTGTGGTGCACCCACATAAAGCCTTTCAACTTAGAGTATGACACCCGCGACTACACCTAACTTTCGCCGTTGGGTAGACGGCACACTTCCTTTTATCACGAATGTCAACTTCGGATTAATCCGGAGCCTTCCAACACGACATGTCCTTGCTGAAAGGGAACCACCCACCCTTTTTTGGCACGGTGCTCGTCAAAATCCGAAGTGGACAGTAAACCCTGTGAGATTCAGTTGCCGCCATTAAAGCAATGGCTGGGTGAATGTTTCACCACCGTTAACTCTTCACCACCGTTAATGCTTCACCACCGTTAATGGCTGGGTTATTGTCACCTAACTTGCGGTCCTTGGCTGCCTTCTTTTTTTTTCACGGGAATCGGTTGGACCCTGTCCATCTCACCCAGTGGATCCCAGGCAAACCCATATGAGTCACTGGCTCAAAACCGAT